AAGGAATATTCTGCTTTGTGGAGTTTTTTGTACTTAGAACCCCGTCTGCCTTGTGACAGAGACTGCTGACTTAGGAGCGTGTTCTAGTTTTCACCCGTCTCTAGTTGAACTGTCGCTTTGGAATCACCTGCCGAAGTTTATTTTGCATAAAGCTTTCTGGAGTTGGGTCTTTTGAAAGTGGATATACTGAAATAGTTTCGAAATTCTTATTGTGAAACTGTTGGGGTTTGGTTGAGCAGGTGGTTCCATTGTGCTGGTGTTTGTAACCTCTGAATGCAAATTCTGTCATATGTAAATAATGTTTTGGTTTTCTGTTTAAATTCACATAAAATTGTGACATACCCAAACAATTCCTGGGCTCTGCCTTGCTGTACTTTCTATCTTGATTAACGTTCTTGTGAACATGTTCTGTTCAGGCTTTTGAAGCCTTTGACAAAGGCGTTTATTTTAGTTGTCCTTGTCATGTGTAGCAGTGGGTTCCCTGCCTGTGGTACTCAGAGGAGTGCTGGTCTAATTTAGAAACAAATTGTTTCTATTTCAAGTTTTTAAGAGAACAATGTCATTAACATTCAAGTTTCCACTTAGATCTGGTTGCAGGAGGGAGTAAAATGAGGCTTACTGCCCAGTCTGATGCACCTGATCCTCCGTAGCTGATTGTGAAATGCAGTAGTAGTGTTATTATGGCCTTTTCAGGCTCTTGGTTTGGACCTTGGTCGTGGTCCCCACAGTCTGAGCAGGAGACTGGAACTGGTTTGAGATCAAGCAGAAAAGACGTAGGAAGCTGAGGGCAAAAAAAAGTGAATTGACAAATTCTCTGCAGGTTTCTGGCAGATCTGCGGAGAGCGCTTCAGTCTCATGTGCGCCAGTTTACTCTGTTGTGCTGGGGACCAGTGCAATATCAATCCTCTTCCTGCCTTCTTTTGTAGAGCTTACAACAAAAGGTCTCTCTCTCTAAGCAGAAATAGTGCTGGGATGCTGTGGGACCTGATTCTGAGCATGCATTGCTGTTTAAATTAGTTAAGTGCATTTTAAGATTTACTGCTGTTGTTACACATTCATTGATCCGACTGTGTCTAACTGCTAATTAATAACAACTGTAGGCACAGTGTGTGGTCTTTGAAATGAGTTGGCAATGATGAGTGACTGAGAGATGCTGTTGGAGGGTCGAGTTTTATAGCGGAACATCTCTGCTTCCAGCACTTGCTCATCTGAACAGCTTGGCCAGATGTGAACTTGCTGCTGCCTCAGCTGCCTCTGCTACAAACAAGAGAGTCTAGAACCTCACCTTCAAACTTATTTTTTTCTTGTAATAGTATTCACTTTCTTCATACAGAAGATGGCAAGATCAGGCAGGGATTTATTTCTCTCTCTGTTTTTAAATTGTTCATGGAAGCCGGGCATTACTGGAGGTGTGATGTAACAGAATCGATAAGGATTTTTTGCAATGCTTGATTTTTTTTTTTTTTTTTTCAGTAAAAATGAAGAATTTATATATTTTTATTGCTCTTCTGTTCATCCCATGGAGTTTTGCTTTGGCAAAGTATGATGAATTTGAGGATGGAGATGACATTATGGAATATGATGATAATGACTTTGCTGAATTTGAAGATGTTAGTGAAGATATGGTCACAGAGTCTCCTCAGAGGATCATCACTACAGAAGATGATGAAGAAGAAGCCACTGTAGAGCTTGAAGGTCAGGATGAGAATCAAGAAGACTTTGATGACGCAGATGCACAGGTAATGCCTTGATGTGTTTCCTAATAGTATCTCTACACCCTTCTTTCTCACCTTATCTTTTTGGATTTTATTTACTGGGCTTTGGATTTTGATGCTGTTTGTCATTTTTGTCCTTTAGGAAGGTGACACTGAGAGTGAACCGTATGATGATGAGGAGTTTGAAGGCTATGAAGAGAAACCAGATGCATCTCATAGCAAAAATAAAGATCCCATAACAATAGTTAATGTAGGTATAAATGTTAATCTGCTTTCTATTTGGTGTTTCATCACTTATTTTTTTAAGGTGGTATGCCAGTAACATCATTGGTGTACAAATGTACGCATAAGGCAGAATCTGTCCTAAAGAATTTGCTATTTGAATTAACAAGAGATGGTGCAGAAATGGGAAGAAGTGTGGAGACAAGAAATACCTGAAATAATGCAACAAGGTAGCAGCAGAATATGATCCAGGTGTGCCAGCTCCCAATTCCATGCTCTTCTGCATTGGTTTATGCTACTTTAAATAGCAACTCTTGAAGTAAAACTTCCAGGGCAGGTGCCTTTTGGTCTGTTGATCTCTGTTTTAAGCTGCTAAAACTCCCATCCTTGGATCAATGCTGCATTCTGTATTCAAACTGAGAATTGTAATTGGAATGTAGATCAGGAAATTCTTCATTAAAACAGGCCTTTTGAAACAGAGTTTGGACCAAAGTATTTTATGACTTGGCTTCTTTTACCCATATTGACTATGGAGGAGAAGTGGAGGAGCTGGTGATGACCTTCATTTAATCCAGAGAAAAACTCATACATCCCAGAACGTCTGGGTGTTTTTTCAGCACAGGAAGAACAGGTTGCAATGATGACATGCTTACAATAAACATAGTGTATTTTTAGCTTGTCTGTGGCTAGAGTTTCAGATCAGAAATTGACTCCTCTGATGGTTTTTGAAGCCAGTCTCTGTCCACCCTGCATCACCTTCTTGTTGCTTCCCAAGAGAGTCTTTTACAGAATGATCAGGTGCTTGAGGCCTGCATTTTTATTATTCCTAAGATCTCTTTTTAAGTATTATGGCTGACCTTGGTAGTGAAAATTAAGGTTTGGGTACTTTTATGACTGAACGGTGATACAGTGACAGCAGAATGGCTAATTATTCTCTGAAGATGGCAAGGTCAAGCAGGCTTCCCTGCTCCCCCACGCAGTTTGTGGCTCTTGGTGGCATCCTGAAAATGCTGCTGGACATTGGGTATTATTTCAGATTCAACAGAAGTTACATGATGATCAGATAATGCTGTGATGGGCAGGCTGTCAAGCTCAAATAATCAGTGGGTTGAAATGCTGGGCTGTTGACTACTCTGAGGGATACAGGCTCACTTGGAAGAGAGAAGTATTTTATTTGTATTAGCCAGGTATTTTGGGAATGCTATTATCGGTTGTTTCCTGTATGATTACTGTGTCCCAGTAGAGCCAAATGCATTACTGGAGGCTTAGCTCTGTCCTGTCGCTGTGTTTGGCATGAAGCTTCTCCAGTACTCTCTGCTTTCCAACTTGTTTGTGTATATGGAATCCGCTCATTCGATATGTAAAAGACAGTCTCCCTTCACTTACTATAGGTCCCTGCTCACCTTCAAAACAGCTGGGAGAGTTACTACATGGAGATCCTGATGGTAACAGGTCTTCTTGCTTACATCATGAATTACATCATTGGGAAGAACAAAAACAACCGTCTGGCTCATGCATGGTTCAACACTCATAGGGAGCTGCTAGAAAGTAACTTTGCTCTTGTTGGTGAGTTCCATAATGACTAGGATCCATTTTCAGTTTATTTGAATAAAGCTGGTTTTAGACCGGCGTGTAGGCTGTAGAGAAGAGTGATCTTTTCTGTGCAGATGCATGATAGCACTAATGACAGCTCTGTGTGTGTAGATAAATAGTGTGCCAGTCTTCCAGTGCTGAAGTTAGATTATGGTGTTTTAGTATAAATTATTCAGAAACATCACGGTGGTACTGAAGTAATCCAGCAACAGCTGAGCTCTAAGCCTAGTAATGAACTTTGATGTTTAAATTTTTGATTTTTACGTTGCAGTTCTCTTTCACTGTTGTTTTCTTCAGGGGACGACGGCACTAATAAAGAAGCTACAAGCACTGGGAAACTAAATCAAGAAAATGAACACATATATAACTTGTGGTGCTCCGGAAGGGTGTGCTGTGAAGGAATGCTCATCCAGTTAAAGGTAAGGATGAGGGAGTTTGTAGTACTGTTTACCTGTCACCAGTTATCAGGTTCTAGAGGCTTTTCCATTCCAGTGCGAGCAACAAGGAGTCCTAGCTCGACTCTCGCTCACATTCAGATAGAGTTCTGAATATGCACACATGAAGGGAAGACTGGTGGGTCTAAAGATCCGTACAGGCCTGTGTTCTGCCCACCAAAGTAGGTAAGAGTGAATGCTTACAGAAGGAGTATAGAAACCAGAAGTATAGCGTAAACAGAGGTAACTGTAGGCTGAAGAGCCCAGCTGCCATTTAGAGGGACTTTAGTGTGTTGGGAGAATGGACTAACAGGAATTCCAAGGAAGTACAACAAAGATGAAGTCCTGGCACCTGGGATGGAACAGCCCCACGTGTTGGTTCAGCTCCTAACTTGAGGGAACAAGGCCCTGAGAAACTCATCTAATGCAGAAAGTAGGCCTACTTTTGAGCAGTATAGGTGACTTCCAAAGGGTGCTTGGAAGCTAAATTACTCTGCAAAAACCATCGACTTATAACTGTCCTATTTTTCCTTGAGCCCTGCTGCTATCTGCCAGTGAAGTGCTGCACTCTAGGTATATTCAGCTATCTTCTTCTGTGTTTACAAACTTGTGCCTTTTAGTTTCTCAAGAGACAAGACCTACTGAACGTTCTTGCGCGCATGATGAGGCCAGCTTCTGACCAAGTGGTATGTACGCAGCCCTTTAGATTAGCTCTAATAAATTGTTGCATTCCTTTGGTTCTGCTGTGCTGCCTTTGATTGTTCTCACAACACACAAGTGAACTGCTAGGTGTCTTTCTATAGTATTCTGTATTTTCCAGTTCAGTAACTGTTGAAACAATCTGAAAGAATTGGTATTGTTTGAGTGCTTTTGTGAACAGTCCATCATGCTTCAAGACCTCATCTTGATTAAAAAGTAGTTTTATGATCTGAAATACATAATGAGTGTTCTGTCTGTTCAGTCTGCCTGAACAGAGCTGCTTATTGTGTATGCTGGTCTGGATATTATATCCTGTAACGTTACTTTTTGCCTCGCCCCTTGCTCTTGGGAGATGAGGGTAATCTCTAGCTGCATAAATACTGAGAGAGTTTACATTTGGAAGAATAGTGGCTGTGTGCACTGTGAATACTCTTTCTATGTATCTATAATTGTATTTACTTATATCTCTTAAAAATATTTACTTTAGATGTGATCCATTGCTTATGAGCAACTGTCATCTGCACTGCAAATGAGCCTTACAACTCTGCTGTTCTAGTCACTGTCATGACACTGTAGCATTGTACCAGAATACTGAATTGAGTACTCAATATAATTAAAAAGCTACCTTGCCTTAAGACACACTGACAAGCTTTAAATCAACACTTTTATCTTAGCTGTGTATGGCCTTGCTTAGTCTTTGTTCTTTTGAATCACCGTCAGACAAACATTGAAGTCACAGAAGATACAGGTCTCCATTTGGCCAGTAGTCTGAAGGCAGAGTACATCGTATAAATCTGATCAGGGCTAATAACATTCTCTTCCACAGCAAATAAAAGTAACAATGAATGATGAAGATATGGACACCTATGTGTTTGCTGTTGGAACGAGAAAAGCGCTGGTGCGACTTCAGAAAGAGATGCAGGACCTGGTACGTATGTTCATGTTGGGAATACTAATGTGATGAATAATAGGATATAAGAACCTCTAGTGTGTAGATTGCTTCATTTTCTTGGCAACAGCTGAAAACTTGTGACTGACCTGTTGGAATTAGTCTGTGGGAAAGACATTTTCATCTCATGGATGAAAGTCTAATGCCATCAAACATCTGAAGTGCGAGCCAGCTGCTGTCAACTGCAGGAAAAGAGGCAACTGAAAGCAGCTTACATCTTCCTTTTAGTGTATAGTTAATTTAGGAGGAGGCTGAAGGATATTGTCAGGATACAGACAGGTGTCGCCTCACCTCATTTAATTTGCACAAATGACTTTTTCAAGGATTGAAAAGTAAACTTAATTAGTGATATGTGACAGGAAAGTTTGGGTCTGAGTCATCTGTTTTTATGTGACCCGAAATTAAAACTTTCCATATGTTCAAGCCCTGAAGCTTGCAAAGAACCCAGTGATAACAAGCAGTGGTTTGCAAATCTTTTCTCTCCTAACTTGTCTCAAGTAACAGCACTAAAGTGTGGTTGGTAGGATGCCAGTTGTTTTGGTTCTGTTACCAAACAATGTAGCAAAATGCCTTAATCCAGTTTGAGCATTTCAGCATGGATGTATTAGAATTGTTTTATCTTTTTCCTTAAAGTACTATTGAAGGGAAATACTAACTTAGACTATTGCTACCGCATGCTTTACTTTGTTTGAAATGTCCCCAGCCAGACTGAGTGACTGAGTTAATGTTTTTTTTTTTTTATTGTTTCACTGCAGGTACTTTTAGGGGTCCCACTATGCTGGAACAGTTCAGTCTAATAAGACACTTACAAGCTTGTGTTTATTTTTCTTTCTTTCCCCTTGTTCTCTTTGAAACAGAGCGAGTTCTGCAGCGATAAACCTAAGTCTGGTGCAAAATATGGGCTTCCAGATTCGCTGGCTATCTTGTCGGAGATGGGGGAGGTCACAGAGGGAATGATGGACGCTAAGGTAATCTTTAATGAATTAATACAAATCTTCCTTGGTAACCCCGGCACTTACAGCCTATGCAAAAAAAGTTCTATCTTTATGTCCTGTAAACATTGCAACAGGAGAGCCAAATGGCCCTAGTGAGATCTAGAGAAATCAAGACCCTAAGGAAGCTTAAGGGCTGGAAGAAGGATGTAATTCTCACATCCTTATTTCTTTTATGTAGCAACTATTAGTCTAATGTGAACTGCAGACTTAAAACTGCCTTTCAAAGCGTGGAAGTTAGCTTCAACAGCCAGCTTGAAGGAGGATGTTGATAGTGTGTCTGCAGGTCTTCAAAACTGACATGTTATCAAATGAACTGGAAAATCCCAAATAAGAGTTACATATCTCTGAGTTGCTCACGTTAATTCCATCATTGAGGCCCATTCTAACAAAAGATAAAAATAATTTGACAGTTTAAATTTCAGTGTCATTGTGGCAAGCTGAGCACAGCAATTTTCTGAGTGATATATGGACACTTTGGCAAACCCATGCAGAGTGGGTAGGCTGCAGATGGATTGGTGTTGGGAAAAACTAACCCCAGTTTCTCTTTTAGATGATACATTTCCTTACGCACTATGCTGACAAGATTGAGTCCGTCCAATTCTCGGACCAGTTCTCCGGTCCAAAACTTATGCAAGAGTACGTATAAAGCTAGATCTCTCCTCCAAGTAGTTATTGTAATGCTAAGCAAAACAGAGGCTGACAAACTTGTTTGCAGTGTGAAGCCTGCTGGAAGGCACACAAAGAGAAATTGGGAGCAAAGGTGAAACAGGTGAATAAATACACTCCCAATACTTCCAAGTGCTACAGTGGTTTAGAAGATCGAGGTGCTGTATTGCCTTAATATTTATTTTTGTATGCTGGTTATACTGTCCCTTGGGCAGCTACAAATTTCAGGTAACACCTGGCAGCTACAGTGTACACAGCTGCATGGAAGACAACTGTGTAATCCCACTAAAGGTAAACAGCATGTTAAGAGTTTAAAGGCCAAGAAGTAACACTGCAGGAGGAGAACTCAACACATTAACTCAGATGCTATTTGAATGCATTGAGAACTAGGTTTAAGCAAAGTCTGCAGTGTTAAAAAATAAAAAGATCAAGGCTGCTTGCCCTTCCCTAGCCGATACAGCTAAAGACTCTGCTGTTGAATCCATCGCTTGGGTACTTCTGTTCAGGTTGATTCTCAGCTGTGCTTCAGAAATACACAGATGCAGTTCTCTCTCCTGTTTCTCCAAGCCTCTTAGTCTTGAGGTGCCTTTAGCTGCTGCTTCAGAATTGCCAAGTGGTGGGTGATTTACCTTATCTGAATTACCATGTAGGTTTTTGCAAGGGTGTATTACGCTCACAGGCATATAATAAACGATCCGTAGCAAAACTTGAAACTGTCCTCCAAAAAAAGGAACGTACTTTGATTTAATTCTAAGACAGCAGGATGTGTACCTTGAACTGAAATTGCTAGGCTTTGGAGTATCTGTGAAATGGAGTTCTGACTTTCTTATATTAGAGTACTGTGCGGTTTTGGGCAGTGGAGACTTAAGAATTCTTTAGAAAATGTGTTGGGCTTTTTTTCTCTGATATTTATAGATCTGTAGTAGTATAAACAACGGGGCATATGTATAAGTGAATGTAATTAAAAATACACAGGCTGTTTTAGGGCTTAGATGCCAGAGCCCACATGACCTCTGACAATCAGATCGGATGGTGCTGTATGTTTTTACATTAATGCCTTTTCACTGCATGCTTTTGAGTAAAGCACTTCAGGAATCTGAATAGTTTGAAACTTAAATTTGGGTTACAGACAGGCTTTTGATCTTGTTTATTTTATTCGAGCAGTTTGCAAGTGTCTCTTGGTTCTTGACAAGGTTTTCTGTAACAATGTTAGGTATTTTGTATGCCTGTATTTTTCTTCACTCATTCCAGCCATTTTTTTCTTTCCTCCCAGGGAGGGTCAGCTTACAAAACTGCCCGAAACTAAAAAGACACTTTTGTTTACATTTAACGGTAAGAGAACTGGTGTACATGTGTGTATGTGTATCTTCGGGGAGTGTTGTGCTTTATTTGCGTGAGTCACATGCTCAAGTTTTGTTGTCTGTGGAAGACAATACATGATGAATGACTTCAGTGCATGTAACAGGATCATTGATTGATTAACCAGTAAACAGAAGGCAGTAAGAACAGTGGGGACTGAGCGGCATAGCATCATGATAATAGGATACTCGATCTTGCTATTATTGATCTTGGTTCATACTCATATTTCTACTGGTAGTTGTATTAGGTCACCATTGGAAGATGGCTTGTTTTTAAGCCACATGCCTTGCAGTCTGAGCTTGCACAGAGTTACTTGCTTAACCCTGGTTTGAAATAAAAACAGCCTGTTCGGAGCCTATTCTAGAAAAGGCCCGTACTTCTCTTCAAAATTTAAGGCCATAGCTCCAAGTGACCCAAGTGCAGGACCTGACACTTAACCGCCTTGTCCTTCCTAAAGAGGAGGCTAAGAACATATTTCTTTCATGAATGGTGTGAGCAATAAGGAAAGAGCGTTATAGCAAGTAGAAAAATCCTGCTGACCTCTTTGAATTAACAAGAAACTCTTTATTTCAGTGCCTGGTTCAGGCAACACTTCCCCAAAGGACATGGAGTCTTTGCTGCCTCTGATGAGCATGGTTATCTACTCTATTGACAAAGCAAAGAAGTTCCGTCTGAACAGAGAAGTAAGGAGTGTGTATTTTTCTGTCTTCTGAATATTGTATGAAATTGCAACCATTACCATTGGATCCTTAATCTTAAGATTGGGAGCCTTATGTTTCTAATATGACTGCCAGAGATACTGTATCCTGTTCCTGTGGAAATCCATATTAACTGTATTTGCTTTTCTCTGAAAAGGGTAAACAAAAAGCTGACAAGAACAGGGCTCGCGTGGAAGAGAACTTCCTTAAACTGACTCACGTGCAAAGACAGGAGGCTGCCCAGTCCCGTCGAGAAGAGAAAAAACGGGCAGAGAAGGAGCGAATCATGAATGAAGAGGATCCTGAAAAGCAGCGTCGGCTGGAGGTGAGATGGATTTTCAGATTGTTACAAGCTACTGGCATATTTTTCCTACAGTATCTCCAGGGCTGCCTGTAGGTATACCAGCAGTGGCCAAGTTTGATTTCTTACTTGCTGGAAGGCAGACAACTTTCAGGGTATATGCTGTTGTTTTCTGAAACATGCAAAGGCTCCCAGTGAGGAGCCAGCTCACGTAGTTCAAGATGCAAACCCAAGTACTGGAGGTCTTTTTTTGTTTGGCTCTTCTGAAATTATCAACTTGCTCTTTGAAGAGATCACCAATGTTCATTAAGATCTCTACGTCCTTCCCTATAGGAAGCTGCTTTGCGACGTGAGCAGAAGAAACTTGAGAAGAAGCAGATGAAGATGAAGCAAATCAAAGTGAAAGCTATGTGACTACATTGTGAGAAGCGTCTCAGTGCCACCTGCAGAATTTTAATTCACAGGGTACAAAGACCTACCTAACTCTATAATCCTATGCTTCTTTGAACACTAGTGGCCATTGAGAGAAATGTTCCTTGCATTGGTGTTAAACTTAAGTATTACAGCAACATGCAGGTGTCTGTAGAGAGCTTTGTCTCAGCAGTTTTATTCCAGGTGGTATAAATTTTTGCTACTTGTCAGTTTAAAAAAAAAACAAACCAACCTGCAATATTCTTGAATGCTCTTTGTCATTTGTTCTTTAAAACCAAGATTGTAAACCTGTCCACGTGTGCTGGTAACATATTCACGCTTTGGTTTTAAACTTTGGGTTTAGTTACTGGGAGGGAAGGGGGAAAAACTTAAGGGGGGGAAAACTGCACAATAAACATTTACTGTGCATTTATTTGCAGCAAGCTTGTAAAGGCACAAAACTTAGAGCCTTCCATACACAGTATGGATTCTTCAGGGATTTAAGCCCAGTAGAATAGAAGTGATTTTCATTTTCCTTTTTTACAAACAAGGAACTGAAACAGTATTAGGTCACCTGTGGGCTGAGTGGCGCGTGTGTAAAACATATAGATGGGTTAGAAACAAGGGAATGGAATACATGAACAGTTTCCTACTTGTGGTTTTGAATGCCGCAAGCTTAGTACAATGTGAAGTCTGTAATGTCAGCATGGTGTTTCTTCAGGAATGAGCACATGGTGAGTTAGCAGCTTCAACTAGCTTTTCTTGAATACTTTTAACTGTACAAATTTGCCTCAAAAACTTTTCTCCTGATCTGAGCAGCTGCTGCCTAGTTCACTTCAGCCAGAAGCTAAGATTCAGTGAAGTATCTGCAATTGCCAATTTCCCCAAGCAAGTAAAAATGTTTCAGAGGATATGTATCCTCTTCATCTGGTAAATGATCACTTCAGGTTTTTGAATATAAATGGGGAGAATGAAGTGAACGCCTCTGTGCAAGCACTTTGCTAACTGAGAAAGCTCTGCATTTTATAAATGCTTCCTGTCTAGAAGGAATTTAATTGTTGCTTGTAACAGACTTTTAACAGTTTTGTGGGGAAAACGTCTTGCATTTTCTTGTTCAATACTTTGTGCAAACTTGGTTCTGAGGCAATAAGAATGAGCTGCTGTTGAAACAGCAATTTAAACTTCTTGTTCTAGCATGGGATACTTCACACTGATTTAAATGCAATTGTCTGTAACTTGATACATGCAAATACATTAATTTTATAACGGTTGGTAAAATTATTTAAAACCCAAACTACTGTAGATTATGTGAAATTTTAGCACTATTTATCTTTAAAGATTAATACGGTATTGTTTCACAAAGTTCTCTGAAAAGAAATACTAGTTTGTGCTCTTTTGAGTAAATGGACAGCTTTCCTGAAGTCCCATACGCCTGTGGGCCATGGCAGCTAATTTTGTAATACGAACATTCAGATGAACAATCTAATGAAGAGTAAAATACAATTGAAACACTCCACCTGCCTACTGTACTTGGCTGGACTGTGTGTTCCTTTCATCTAGCCGAATCTCGAAGCCTCGGTTGTGCTGGGTGGGTTTTAAACAGGCAGGAGCTGGCGTTATCTTCGCGGGGATGCTGGTGGAAGCGATTCCTTCCACCCGGGAGCTGCTTCCTGTCAGGGCGGTGGTTGCCGGGAGAAGGCCCGCAGCCGGAGGAAGGCCCCTCTGCCCTTGTGCAGGCCGGGGTAGCTGGAAATGGAGGATTTACCTCCTGCCTTCAAGGACGGGGCCGTGCAGGCGCTGCAGCAGCACCGAGGGCGGGCAGGGCGCGTTCTCCCCT